GATGAGTTCCATCAAAATACATTGTGTGGAACTTATAAAGAATTAATAAAAATATCATTTTAAAAAGTCTGGGGGCTGGAGAGATGGCTCAGAGGTTAAGAGCACTGCCTGATATCGCGGTTAAACAAGGATCAGGATAAATAGGCCGAATAGATGTTTATTCAGGGAGAAATAACTTACAACCTAGACAGATGAACACCAGGAAATTCCACCCGATGCTCTCCTGTCCGAGTCACGCCAGAAAGAGAGCCCTTTCCTGGCCCCCTCCGACCTCCTTCCACAGGTCACTCCGCCCATGGCTCCACCCCCAATGGGCGTGGTCAGTGCCACAGAACTATCTCACCTCAGTACCTTATTTTCCAAAGGTCCTGAATTCAGTTCCCAGAAACTATAAGGTGGCTCACAACCCCAGCAAAACAACACTGTATAATATATATACACATATATACATATACTATATATATACATATATATACGAGAAAGTTATCTTTAAAAAAAGAAGTCTGACAACAAATGTTGGAGAAGTTGTAGGGAAAGGGAACCCTTAGTCACTGCTGGAGTACAAATCAATGCAGCCTTTATGGAAGTCAGCTTGGTGGTCCCTCAAAGAATCAACTATAGAAATACCCTTTGACCCAGTCATTGCACTCCTGGGCATTTATCAAAGATCTCCATACTCATTCACAAAAATGTTTGCGCATTCATGTTTATTGTTGTTCCACTAATGAGTGCAAGGACATGGAAGCAAAATAGATGTCCATCAGTGGACGGGTGGGCAATGCACATCAAATGTGGTATACTTACACACTGGGATACTATTCGGTAGCTCAGAAAATGAAATTGTGAGATGTTTTCAGTATAGACCTGGAAACTATATCATACAAGGTGATCTAACCCAAAACACACGTTCGCTGTCATGTTCCAGTCATAGTCTACAATGTATTCTTGTTCCCATGTAACAGGAGTCAGTGTATACAGTCTGAAACTTAAAAAGGAGACCAAGGGAAGAAACACTACTAGGTGATAAGGAGGGGTGAAATACAGGCCAAAGGACACAGGAGTCAAGAGAAAGGAGTGTTTTTTTTAGAAGTTTCTCTGTTACAGTTTTTTCATGGTGGCTATGTAAATTCAATTGTGTTCTGAGTAGCATTTTTGAATTCCAAAAGAATACATTTTTTTTTAATTTCATTTATGGCCAGGCAGTGGTGGCACACATCTTTAATCCTAGCACTCAGGAAGCAGAGGCAGGCGGATCTCTGAGTTCGAGGCCAGCCTGCACTACAGAGTGAGTTCCAGGGCAGCCAGGGCTACGCAGAGAAAGCCTGTCTCGGATGGGGAAATAAATATGTAAATGAATGTGTGTATGTGCAAGCATGCATGCATGTGTTTGTGCATGCGTGTCTGTGTGTGTGCGGAGGTGGCCTAGGGGACCAGAAGAGGGTCTCTCTCTTCCCAGGTGACTCTGGCCTGTGTCGGACCGACAAGCACTCACCAGCAGCGTCTTTGCTCCAAGTCCCCTTGTCTGTCATATTAGCCAGGCTCACAACCCATTTCACTCCATCCCCAAAGGAAGAAACCTGGAAACAAGTTTCTTGTCTAAGAAAATCAGTGTTATATTCGACATACAGAAAAACGTGCAGGGTCTCAGAAAGTTTAAGGAGGCGCTTGTTCTAACGCCCCTCATTCTCTGGTGCAGGTGCCAGCCGCCACGAGATTGGGGCAGTTTCCCTGGGGCAGGGGGAACCCACATTCTTGCTCATGGACATTCCCAACTGTACCACTGCCCACTGCCATGCCTACCTGACAAAGGCTCAGACCCCCAAGTTCCTGGGTCGCAACCCCCACCCGGGGCCATCAGCACCGTAGTGGCTTGACCTTCTGTGATGACTTGTGTGGAATCTGTCTGCAGATTCATGCCTCAGGAACTGGGCCTGGTGGTCTTTGAGGAACTGTGTGCTCAAGTGTCTGATGTCATGGATACATTCATCCCTCACTGACTTCATAATATGAGAACATTCTTGGAGGTGGTAGGAGGCGGTTAGCCTTCACTGGAGAAAGCAGCCCCCGCGGCGTGCTTTTGAAGGACGAGTTTCGTCTCTTGCCCATTCCTTGCCTGTTTTATCCCATTTCCGGGTCACCACGCTCCTGCTCCTGCATGACGTTCTGCCTCAGTCCTGGCCCCCACAAACAGTCAAGGGACCTTGGGCTAAAATGACCCCTGAGCCACAATGAATCCTTCCTCCCTGTGTTTGTCACAGTGACTCGGAAGTCTGTCTCTGGGGAAGCGGGCTCCCAACTCAGGCACGGGTGGGCAGCAGCAGCCCTGGTAACTATTGAAGTCCACTTACCTGGCTCTCCCAAGCGGACAGACACAGGACAGAAGAGCCACCTGTACCAGACCCCCAGAAACACCAAGGGAAATGACCTGGGCGTTCTCATTCCCTGTTAACCCAGCCTTACCTTCTGCATACACAATGTTTTTTTTTTTTTTTTTAAAAATAGGATCTCATCTATCCCAGGCTGGTTTGACCTTGCTGTGTAGCCAAGGATGGCTTTGAATTCCTGGTCCTCCTGCCTCCACCTCCTAAGTGCTAGGGTTACACCACCATTTCCAGTTTATTTGGCAGTGGGATTGGAACTCAGGCTTTTTACATGTTAGGTTAGTGCTCTATCAGTGAAGCTACATTCCCTTAATGCATCATAGCCAGCCCATGTAGGCCTCTGTGAGGCACAGCCAAAGACCACACACACACACACACACACACACACACACACACACACACACACACACGGTGTTCATGCACACCTACCCTTCAATGCCAACTCCCAGCTGTTCATGAACTCAACAGTGTTTGGCAAATGCAGATATTTGCCACTCAACAGAAAGGGACAAATAAATAAATAAATAAATAAATAAAAAGATACACAGACTATCTTTAATGGTCAAGCCATCTCTCTGGCCCTTCCTTTAAAAAACCAGCCATTGAAGCAGAATAGGCTTTAACAAAGCTCACCCTGAAGGTCAAAGAATGAACAGATTGTCATTAATTTGAGGTCCTGTCCATGGTCACACACAGACATGGCCTTCCCCTGGGATGCAAATAAATATGCCCCCAATGTCGGCTGGCTGGAGGGACAATATACCCCGGCCATCCCCATCCTCAGGGTTTGCTAGACCACAGTGAAGCATCCTCAGATCACTTGCCAGGACGTCTTATGCTGGTGGCGGCAGTGAGGAGTGACACCTTGCTCAGCTAGAAGCTGCAGGATTCTCGGAGTTCCTCACACCCCATCTCTAGGTGTGAGGAGCCTGCAGTAGGTGTGAACAGCCTGCAGAAGGCAGAATTTGGTGTTCCTGGAAGACATCTGTGATGGGAGATGTCATTCTATATGTATGTTTCTCATACTGGTTAATGAATAAAGCTCTGTTGGCCAATAGGAAAGCAAGATAGGCGGGTCTAGGAGACAAGGAGGATTGGAGGAAGTAGTAAGGAGGAGTCAGCATGGAGAGGCTGGGGAGACCAGATGCAGGCATTCCCTGGTAAGATGAAAGCACGTGGAAATATTAGATTAACAGAAATGGGTTAATACTTAAGACAGAGCTAGACGATAAGAAACTAGTACCTGGCCAAGAGCATCATATCAAATACAGATTCTCAGTGTGTTATTTGGGGCTGACCCAGCGGCGGGACAAGACCAGCAGCGGGAGGAAAAACCTTACTTCTTACACATCTGCTCCTTGCATCTTCCAGGAACACATTCTGGTTTGATTCCTTCCCAGAGGCCCCACACTTGCAAGGAATCCTTACGTGCCTGGAAGGCCATTCCGCTATGGAGTGGGAAGGTCCAGAGGCAGGGCAGCTTTGTGTCTTGAGAGCCCACATGGGATGCAGTATGCAGAAAGTAAAGGACAAACGTGCAACTGACTGAATGATGGCGCAGCTAAGCTAATGCCAGCTCTGATGGGCTCAAGGTAAGTGCAGACAGGGCTGAGTCAGGAACGGATCTCATCTTCATCTGCACATCTCTCACCACCGCATCTAAAATGGGCCCAGACAGAGCAGGGCAGACCCATGATTGCTGGTCCAGGTTGGGTTCTGACTAACTCCGAGTGCAATCCTTTCTCAAGCCATGAGCATGCCTTCAAGCGCCAAGGTCCCTAGGCCACAGCAGAGTGGGGGCTGAGACCCTGGTGCAGGGTGCTGCAGAAGAGCTGGTAGCTGGGGAGAGCAGCGAGCAGAAGGGCCTGTTTCCTCAGCTGGGCCAGCAGAGTCTGTGGCACTGGGGACAGCCGCCTGTTCAGACCCTTGGTCCCTCCTCTGGCATGCCATTTCCTGGGCAGGCAGGTACTGACCGCTCTGGCCACCCGATATGATTCTTCCACAACTTTTGCCTCCCTTCCTGACACTGGGTGTTGCCAGTTGGTTTTTCTACCAGTGGACTGAGGCGTGCAGGAGCCCCAGCTGGTTAAGATAAAAATACAGCTGGAGATCTGCCTCAGAGCCACTCTGTGGGGCTGTGCACACTTTGTAGGAGACAAAAAAAAAAAAAAAAAAAAAAAGTTCCTGAAAATTAAATTCCAAGAAATAGTCCCATTTATGTTTTCTGGAAGCTTCTTCGTTCCCTTTTCCATCCCACACCCTTGGCTCTGTCAGAATGGGAAAAGAGAACCAAAGAGAATCAGGGAGGTCAAGCCGTGTTTCTTTTTGGGAGTAGGCCCTTGAGGAAAAGGTCTAAGGTTTTGGTCCAAGTGTCAGGGAGCTCTGATTACACTGCTAATTTGGGTAAGTAAGAAAAGGGTATCTTTGTTTTGTTTTGGTAGAGCAATAAGAATCAGGGAATATGGGAATATGGGCTGGACAGATGGCTCAGTGGTTAAGAGCACTGTCTGCCTTCAATTCCCAGCACCCACATGACAGCTCACAACCTTCTGTAACTCCAGTTCTAGGGGACCTGGCACCCTCACAGAGACACACATGCAGGCCAAACACCAATGCACATACAATTTAAAACAATTTAATCATAAAAAAGAAGCAAGGAATTAAGAAGGGACAAATTAATCAGCAGGAACATTTGCCCAGGGCTGGAAATCAGAATCTAGCTTGTGCCACCCACAAGCCCCTCACAAGCTGCAAAGTTTGGGCAGGAGATGCTGTCAATGTCACCCCAAGGGCTCCTTATGCCATTCACATGCCCCTGTGTCCTTCCCATGAAGCAATCATGGGCCCATTCAGGGAACCTGAGTCTGCCATGTGAGGCCCTCCTGCATCCCCAGGGTGCTGGGAAGGGGCTATCGAATCTGAGTTTGATATTATCAGTCACTGAGGTCCCGCCGGCAGCAAACTGGGCTGTCCACAGGACAAAGTGTGCTGGCATTTAGCATCTGCCTGTCAGCATGAGACACACAAGGTCCACCCAAGCAAAGGGTAGGTTTCTGCTCCCCTTATGTCATCACTCCCTCCCCTCTCCCCAAGGGATGATGGGGATGCAGCCAGCGGCATCCCCCCAGCGCCCTGTGGCAGCCCGGGAGACCGCTGCACTGCGAGGCCAGGGGTCCCCAAGCTGCAGGACCTCACCTCCCTGGGGGAGCCTGAGTGGAAGTGGACTTTGGGGAAGGAAGGCTGTGTCCCAGATACAAGTGGCCATACATCCCTCTTCCTCCAGGGTCCTGGACACCTATCATTTCTTCCCTGCCTCAGATCCCTACTTCCCGACAGGCGGGAAACTGGCAAAGGTTGTGTTCTTCACACGGTGGCCAACTCAATGTAAGTGGTTAGCAAGCAACAATCTTTTTTTAATGAAAAACAGAATTGAGGGTATCCCAGGTCCTAAGGCTGAGAACTCCTTCCTGAGACTCAAGACATGGGTCATGTGACTGACTGGTGATAGAAAGCACTGTTTCTATGGACAACAGGGCCACGAGGTCTGGAGAGCAGCCAGCACACTGGGGGGGGGGGGTCCTGACTGAGCATCACTCCTTCCTAACCCCAGGGCAGAAGAGAAAAGGGCATGCCATGCACAGGGGCACGCCAGAGACTGACCATGTCTCCCCCAGCCTTCCCAATGCCACTGCACTAGTGCCTGCTCCTGGAAAAGAAATCTTTGGTATTTCCCCACCCTGGCCGTCCCTGTGCAGCTCCCCACAGATAGAGCGAGTCATTCTTCTGGGTAAGAACAGGACATTCTAGGCTCGGGCCCGGCAGTGACTCACTGTTATTCAGAACGGTGACACAAAGCCTGTTCACCCTCTCTCCCGAGGCATGCAAGACCCCTTCCTCTCTGACTTTGAAACTTCAGAGGGCAGAGGCCTTAAAGAACAGATGAGAACTCACTGGGGAAGCCAGAGAGGCAGACCATAAAACAAAGAAATGAGGCACTAAACTTGCCTCCTGGGTGGAATGTGAGTGGTGGCTCGTGGGCTCCCCCACATGGCCAAAGGTGGAAGCTCACCAGCAGCTACACCAGCCAGAAAAGGACCCCAGGGCATTGTGGGTCCTTTCCGGTGGCAGAGGGGTAGCTCTCTTGCAATAGAGGTGTTCTGTCAGTCTGGGCCCCTGGGGGCCAGAGGAAGCAGAATTTTCGTAAGAATGCCTTTCATCCATCCAGAGCCCCGGCTCAGGCCACACTGCACACATCTCTAGTGCAAACACAGGTTCTTTTCCAGGCACGGCCTGGGAGAAAATACACTCAATCAAAAGGAGAGAAACAGATTTCCTGGAAGACACTGAGACTCTGTGTGTGAGGCAAGGACTGTGGTAACCCTTCTATGCCCTACCTTGTCCATGTGACTAACAGGAGGCCGAAACCGAAACTGCGTGTGCCCTGAGACACTTGCTTTATGTTTGTTGTTGGCTTTCTTTAAAAAAAAAAATAAAAATAAAAATTCAGAGACCCCGGAGGAGGCTGAGTTGGGAGCTGTGTCTATCCTGTTCCCAGTGGTACCAGGCTAGCTGTGAAGGAAGTGGTGGAGAGTCAGCGGCCAGGCTTGGAGCCCTAGAGAGGTAGTGTGATGTGAGCCGGCTACAGCCTGCCCCCTAGTGCTGGGAATTGGTCACATACGCCCTAGAGAGAGGCTATGAGCTGTAGTCACCCCCAACCTCCCAGGGGAAACAAAGAGCCCTGTCTACATATAGATCAGAGACACCTGATGGTCCAGTGATGGCAGAACGGTTCTCAGAGGGGAAAGGGAGCACAGGTCTTTAGATGGGGCGGGGGGGGGCTGACATGGCAGTGTCTGTGTCCCCCCCCCCTTGGTATACAGGGAGAAGGGCAATGGGGAATGCTGAGGACAGTGGGCACAGAGCAGGTAGAAGCTGCCTGAAGGAGGATACACAGAGGGAGGAAGGGATTCCAGAAGAGGCAGGCTGCCTGGTGCAATCTGGGACCGTTTCTACTCTTCTTGCCTGGCTCGGAGCACTACATTGACCCGGAAGATCCGCACCCTTCTCCTCCCACCCTGGCTCCTCTTCCTACAGAAAACAGTCCAGGGATCTCCGGCCAGTCTTCGCACACCACACTGGTGAACTTGCAGCCTCCTCCCTGTCATGTCCTGTGTTGTAGATACTGACGAGCAGCTGGCAGAGGCTTAGAGTTTCTTTCCTGTCTGAGTTCCGAGGCATCGCCACAGCAGGGGCCTGAGTTATGCCTGCTTTTTTTTTTTTTTTTTTTTTTAATGTCTAGGCACCGTAATTGCACAGAACCAGTGGACCCAGGACGTGGGGCAGGGTTTTGTCCTCCCTTCTCTGGGGCCCCACTCCGGCACCAGGCTCCAGACAGCAAGGCACACTGGGTGAATGAGAGAAGGCTTGAGAGGGACTAAGACCGGGGAGCTCCTGTCACCCCAGAAAGGCCTCATAATCCATGTACCAAACCAGCTGACCAGAAAGAGGCAGAACACCCGAGATGGGCCATTTCTTAGGCTCGTGGCCCACACGGCTCACCAGCATGGTGATCTCACGTTTTGTCCTCCCCATGACCAGGACGGCTACCTTCTTGGCACGGTTGATGAGTGGCAGGCTGAGGCTCATGCGTTGGTGTGGCCTGAGCGGGCTCTCAGTCAGTACCACCAGCTGATCACCATCCAGGCCGGTGGGTGACTGTGGGAACAGGGAGGCCGTGTGCCCATCAGTGCCCATGCCCAGCAGCACCAGGTCGAAGCTGCTGTTGGCCACGAGGGCTGAGATCTCGCTGGCATAGGTCTGGGCGCCCTGATCCTCTTCGGCACAAAGCCGCTGGTGCAGGTGCACCGGCATGGGGTGGATGTTGTAGTAGGGAACCCTGACATGCTGCAGCAGGTGAGTCTGCAGCCCCTGGAAGTTGGACTCTGGATCCGAGAGGGGGACACAGCGCTCATCCACCAGCCACAGGTGCGTATGGGCCCAGGGAAAGCTGTAATGCCCTGTGGCCAGCTGCTGGAAGAGGGCAATGGGGCTTGACCCACCGGACAGCGCCAGATGGAACTTGCCAAAGCGTCGGACGGACTGTTCTGCGGTGACCTCAATGTCACTGGCTAGCTTAGAGATGAGCTCCTCTGGCCAGGCTGTGATCAGTGGGCTCTCTCTGTACTGGGCCCTGAGGACCTGGAAGTCACTGGGCTTTGGGACTGACCCTAGCTCTGGCAGCAGCACCTCTAGCGGCTGGGAGAAGGCCAGCTGACCGCCGCTGAACTCAAAATCCAGCAGGTGTCCGCTCTCCACTCCCCCTGGGTAGAGGCGTGGGGCTTCGAGGGCCAGGCTCTCCAGTAACGGGGTCCAGAAGACCCAGGAGGCCAGCAGATTCTCTGTGGTGATGAAGGACTCCTTCCGGCAGTGGAAGATGTGAGACAAGAGGGTGGAGTAGGCGTCTTGCTCCCGCACAGGTCTATAGGCATAGTAATCAGACAGAGGACGGCCAAAAAGGCGGAGCCCGGGCTGGTCCTGCACCTCCTCCCAGCTCTGGGTGGGCAGGTAGGGCTTGAACAGGTTCTGGCTGACCAAGATGGCGGGGTGGCCCAGCTCGCCATGCCCAATGTAGAAGACGATCTGCTGAGGCAGGCACTGGCTCCGCCCCGAGGCCCAGTGTCTCTCGCTCTGGGTGCAGTATGCCTGGTTCTTAAACAAGATCCGCACGTAGCCCACCCTTTCGTCCAAGGCCTTGCCCGACACCAGGATGAAAGGAACACCCTCCCAGCGCAGGTTGTCAATGTGGACAAGGACACCTGAGGTGGAGAGAGAACAGAGCGTGACGCCGAGCCTGAGAGCGGGCTATGCAGCCCACGTTGCTCCCGCCCTGCCCCTGCCTTGCAGTGCCTTCAGCCTTCTTCTTCCCAGGCAGGGGTGGCTCAGCCAGTGGGGTTAATTCTATGGCCACAACACCAGCACTCCAAGGTCCCTCTGAGAGACCTGGTCTAACCAGGATTGGAGCCCGCCATGGAAGGTTCCGTGGTGGGGCAAAAGGGGTGAGAGGCACATTGGATCTTGACCGGTAAGGGCGATGCCTGAGGAAGGGCAGCTCTCTTTGTGTGAAGCCCCCAGAATGGAAAGCAAAGCCAAGCATGGGTAGAGGCCAGGTGGGTGGGGGGTAGGTAAGGAGAGTCTGTGGAGTGGGAGGAATACGGGCATGTGTGTGCGTGCGTGCCACAGTCACAGATGCCGTGCTGAGGTCTCGCCTTTTCACCTGGCCTCTTGCATCCTCGCCACTGAGGACAATAACTGCACTGGCCTGCTGGGAGTGTGAGCCCCGAGTGAGAGGAGGTAAATGTGCCGAACGGCATCAAATGGCCTTTATATACAGGGGCTGGCTCATGCCCATTGTCTCTACCTGCTAGGAGCCAGCCGCTCTACCCAAAAGGCTTCTGGAACTTTCCAGGTGGCTCTAGCAGGTTATCTGTCGGCCAAATGTGGTATCTGTCCACAGGGACATTCCTTGGCTGTGGCTGGACAGATTTGCGGTATTATGGAAGCTACATACACGGCCCACGAAGGTGGCTCCTATGTGAGCCCCACAGGCACGTCCTCAGAAGACCTTTCTGGGACTGAATGGAGGCTGATGTAGGTGACCGGCAGCTTCAAACTGGCAGAAGGCCTAGGGGGTGTTGATCGCCATGTACTGAGCAGTACTGTTGTCAAGATTCCTGGGAGTCCGAGCTACCAGGCTTCAAAGGGCACTGGGTGAAAAGCTGCCTCCAGCTGGTGGTGACCACAGCTGCCGGCCCTGGTACCTACCCGCAAAGGTTGGTGTTAGGCTCTGGAAACTGTCTGGCTTCTGCAGCTCCTGACGCACCTGCCCACTGTAGGCCTGGTACTGGCCCAGGACGGCACTGCTCTTCTGCAGTCCCCTCAGGGCCTGGAAAGCCTGGAGCTTGTGCTGTAGCACGGCGGCTGAGTTGCTGATGTTGTGAGGCAGCTCCATGGCTACCAGCGTGAGGATCTCAGTCAGATGGTTCTGCAGCGTGTCACGGATGACACCATACTCCTCATAGAAACTGGCTCGGCCTGAGCGACAGGGGGGGCGTTGTCAGAAGGGTCCCCCGCAGCGGTAAGACACTAACTACCCCCAACCCATCGCTTCTCCTGGCATCCTCATTCCTTCATCCAAAGAACCCATGCCAAGGTGTGCCACAGCAAACCTCAACAGGAGACAGGAAAGGGGCCAGTCGGGGCAACCTCCCTCCATCAAAAACTACTCTAAGAGGAGGGATGGGCCTGCTGGGGCTGGGCCTGTTCAGGAATTGTCTTGGGAAGATTCTAGTCTCAGGGCTAGGCAGAAACATCTGTGGATCCTGGCTAGCCTCCTAGCCTGCCTCTCTCCCTCCCTGGGCACTGGCCAGCCGGTGGAGCAAACTGGTCATGGGGAGAGGAGGGTAGTGTGGCAGAGAAAGGAGTAGGAGTGACCCCCAGGCTTGCAAAGGGAGGCAGGGTGAAGAGGGGACAAGAGGGGGCGGAGCTTGGCAGCACAGCCTTGCCTAGCCCACATGTGGCCCTGGGCTCCAACCTCAGCACCACAAAAAAGAGACACGCAAACAGAAAGTTGCTGTACTGTGTACATCTCCTCACTAGAACGCAACAGCATACTGATTAAGCACACAGACATGTATGACAAGAGTAAAGAGAATCAAGGGCTGGCTGAGATGGGGGAGATGACTCAGCCAGCAACACACCTGTCATGTGCACATGAAGAGCTCAGCTCACATTCCTGGCACCCATGTAAAAAACCGGGTGTGGTGGTGCATACCTGCAATGACTCCAGCCCTGAGGAGATGGGAACGGGGGCACCCCAGTAACAGCTGGCTGGTGGCAACGAGAGCCTAACTCCAAATAAATAATGTGGAGAGTGACTGAGGAAGACACCTGTCTCCGCACAAGCACACGTGTGTACACACGTGTGTATACACACACGCACATACAAAAATGCACAAACATACAAACAGAAGTAAGCACACTCAATGTTGGAAACAACAGAGGACAGGATATAGGATAGACTCCAAGGAGGCACACAAGAGCTGTTGAAGGGCTTTTAGCCACTGTGGGAGCTGCAAGGATGACCGTGGGCAAAGGCACCTGCCGATAAGCCTGACAGCTTGAGTTCACACCACCGGTCCCACAGTAGAAAGAGAAAATGGCTCCCACAAGTTATCACCGAACCTCCACATGTGTGCCATGGCGTGCACACGCCCACACATGCACACAATAGTGAGTAAATACATAAGTACATGCTAAAGGGTCTCTGAAGTAAAGCACTGTAGGAGCTTGGATGGGGCAGATTGTATTTATCATGCTTGAGGCTCTGGGCTCATTCCCAGGGGAGCAAACAAAATATTTAAATTAAAACCTGTTTGCATTTCTTATTACACCGTTATATTTGTCTTGCATGTATCTTCTAAGCATTATTTTACCTGGAATCTAGTTAATATTTAATCCAAACAAATAAAGGGGAGGCTTGCTCTGAGCAGGCTGAGCAGGCACCCTCAGTCTTCAGAACCTGCCCTGCTAGACAGACATGGTGACTATCTGGAAATAGAAAAATTTAAATAGGCAGTTGTGGGGCTAGAGAGAAGGGTCAATGGTTAAGAGTTCTTGCCACTCTACAGAAGATCCAAGTTTGGCTGCCAGAACATTCATCTATCTGAACTCCAGCTTCAAGGGATGTATGCCCTCTTCCGGGCTTCACAGGTACACACTCACATATATAAACATCACACACACACACACACACACACACACACACACACACACTTAAAATAGAGCCAGGCAGTGGCGGCCCACACCTTTAATCCCAGCTCTTGGGAGTTACGCCTCTGTGAGTTTGAAGCCAGCCTGGTCTACAGAGTGAGTTCCATGACAGCCAGAGCTACATAGTGCGGCCCCAAAATAAAAACAGAGTCCTTTAAAAAGATATACTTCTTTTAAAAATGATAGCTGTGGGGAGCTGGAGGTGACTCAGCATTTGTCACTCTTCCAGAGGACCAGGGTTCAGTTCCCAGTACCCACATGGTGGCTCACAGCCATCCCTAATTCCAGTTCCAGGGGACATGCCGCCCTCTTCTGACTCCTACAGGCACCAGGCACTTGTGTGATGCACAGACACAACATATTCAAGCAAGATGCTTGGACACATAAGACAGAAACAAATCATCTTTTAACAAGGTACTTGCATCTTATGATGGTGTCCATTTAAAATCTGCTGACTCTGAAGAGCGCTGACATGACATCTGGTGGTTGTCACCAGAGGTACAGGGTAAGGCGACAATGGACTTCACTGGGCCCCAGCGAGATTTGAACCTGGCTAGTTACAGCCTCAGGAAGAAGCTGGCTGCTGGCTCAGCCTGGCACCCCCGATGGCAACCCTGCTTCAGAGCTGCTCAGACACGGAAAACCCATGCCCGATAAAATCAATGAATCAGAGCAGACTCAGGCAAAAAGAGGACGCCATCGGCTTTAGGAACAGATGAATTTTTGATGGAGAAAGAGCACCAGAGTCCTTAAAAGCCCGCGATCTGCTTACTATTCATTAATTTCCTAAATCCCTGAGTGGTCCCTTTCCTATTTTTATCCACCTGCTTCTTGATTCTGGGGAGATTGTGTGCCTAGGGTTTACTACCTGCTGAGTGGAAGAGAGCAACCTTTATTCCTTCATTTCAAGCTTGGAGGTATGTGGGTGCCGGTGTTTAGCACAACCCGTGTATTTATGGTCTCAGCTCCCAACCCGGTCAGTTAGGAAGGACCAGGGCTGTGGCCTGGGTCACACATGAAGGAGAAAGAGACCACAGAGAGACTGTGGGACTCAGCAGCTGAGCCGGCAGGTGGAGGCCAGGTGCTAGCACTCACATAGTACTCAGTGTGCTGGCTTGGTCCAGGAACTGATGGTTTTCCCCTAAAGGGGGTCTGTACTGGCTTTGCGAACCCTTTTCCAAGGTTAAAGGGTGCCAGCTAAAATCCACATTATTGAAAAGAGAAAGTAGAAGCAGCATGGCCAACTTAAAGAAAACCCTGTGAACTCAGCTCCTAGCTGTGCAAGTCCAGGATGGAGCGTGGCTTTGCCTTCTCATCCTGCTCAGTCTAAGGGATGGAAGATGGCTTGAAACTGCTCGCCAGCTTTGGCCCAGTGACTGCACTGTAGAAATATACTAGAGGGGAATAGTTAATGACGATTATAAATATTCTAGAAGGAGAGACTGGCTGCACAATATTGCAAAGTACTAAAACAACACTGAGTCACAAATTTTAAATTGTGAATTTTACAGAATATGTGAATTTGACCTCAGAAAAAAATTTCAGGAAGTACTATTTAAAATAGCAAAATCTGGAAAGACAAAATGTCTAGTTATAGAATTTATACAGCATATTCTGTGATATAAATAGAACTGAACAAAAATACAGAACTGTTAAACATATATTATGCAGATTGTCAATATACGGGAATGTAGATGGGGGTTAACTACGAAAGGACAAAGAGCATTATAGACCAATTACATATTGTCACACACTAAGCCAATGTTGGTTGGAATAGCCATTTTAAGATCATTCTTCTCCTGGCAAACTTGGAGAGCATCTCTATTTGTTAAGTAAGTCCATGGACGTTATCTAATTTAATGCGGGAAATCACCCAGAGAATACTACTATGGCTTCTCAGCACTATAAGAGTGGAGCTGAGGGTCACATCTCTGGAAGCGAGCCAACAATCCCCTCCCATTGATTCCTTGCTGTGGGAGAGCTGGGTTTCCCAGCCAAAATAGATATTTTAACGAAACAAAGGAAAAACTACCAAAAGCCAGCTGCAGTCCCTACCAACGTCTTCTGGGACCGCTAAAAATAAGGACAGAGGAGCAGAGGAGCCTGTCTGGCTGCCTGTTCTCCCTGTCGCCCTCACTAGGGACACGAGGCTGCAGCAACTGCAGCTCAGCCTGCAAACAGCACAGCAGGGACCCCGCTCTGCTGAGCAAGTGCCAGTGCCATCTGTCACAGGCAGCGGCAGCGGTAGCGGCAGTGGAAGGGAGGCAGGACGGCTGGAGCTACCTGGGAGGACCCTGGCTGCTTTGGTCCCTTGGTGAAAGGACAGGGCCTTCGCTCTAATGCACACATCACACCCCTTTCCCTAATGCCTGGGAGGAGACGCTGCCCAGCAAGGACAGTCTCAAGGCGTGTGTCTCCCCCCTCCCCCCCATTCCCCACCCCGAGGCTTCCGTGCAGAGGAAACGGAGCGAGTACAAGGCAGTGAGGGAGGCCAACTCCTGAGGCCTGGGCACTGAGAGGGCGAGGAACGCAATGGTTAGAAGTTTGGGTTGCGATGATCAAACCCCGGGACACAGACTACTGTCGTTAAGAACTGATTGCTCTGTAGGGCCATTTGGAGTCACTGCTACATTGCAGCAGGTGACCTGACCAAGGTCACATCCACAGTTCATGCTGCTGCATTAGGAGACCCCACTGAGGGCCCCAGAGCATTCATGACAGGAGCAGGGCATCCTGGGCTAAACCCAGGTCAGAAACTGCAGGGTTACTGCGGGCTTGAAGGATGGCTTCTTCCTTCCTCCTCCAGGGTGCCCCAGCCTCTGCAGCAAGCTCCACCGAGCCAAAGGCTGCTGCAGGAGCTGGGGAGGGGAGGGAGGGAGCTGGGGAGGGGAGGGAGGGAACTGGGGAGGGGAGGGAGGGAGCTGGGGAGGGGAGGGAGGGAGCTGGGAAATGTGACCACCCAGCTGGACAGGGGTGGGAGACAAAGAGTCACATGACCTTTCCCATGGCTGCTATAAAGCCGAAGGGGGGCGGGTTGTGACAGGGCTGGATAGCAGCCCCTACTCTCCCAGAATGCAGGGAACAGTTTAAACTCCCCCAGCATCTACCTCTAGGTAGGAGTAACCCATGAGTGTGGAATGTGGGGGTGGGGAGGACGACAGTGGACAGGGAACAGTTTGTGACTTTGGTCTTTTTTGCTTAAAATTCAGACTGTAGGACTCAGAATTCAGCCTTGAAACATTCGGCCTACACTGAGGCGAACGGGAGAATCACTCATCGAAGCCCAGCGCTGTCACCCGATGTGGCCACTTGGGCAGATCTACAGTTCCTGTCCAGAGGTGGGAAGAGGGAGGCCATGCTTGGCTCACCTGAACTTTGGCAGATGCCGCTTTAAGATGCCAAGAAGATTCCCAGCACCCCTGTGTGCTCACTGTGTGGCCCAAGTGGCTTGAGGCTTGGTGGCAACATCTCCCATAATCCACTGCTCTGGGCCTGTATCTACACCAGAAAGACCCAAACCCTGGCCAGTTGCAACAAAAACAGAATCTACAAGAAGGAAGTGGTAGCTTCTGTTTGTAATACCAGCACTTGAAAGCCCAAGGCAGGAAGATTTCTGTGGGTTCAAGGCCAGCCTGAGCTATAGTGTAAGATGGAGGCCAGCCTAGGCTACATTGAGAAACATTGTCTCAAATGAAACAAAATGAAACAAAACAATTGTTAAAAGGAAGTAAACCCAGATAGCAGGCCAGTCCCACACAGCCAGCCCTATCTGTTCCTAGCTGTAGGCCCTACCTATCTGTTACTAGGTGTAGGCCTTTGGAACAAGGGGAGCCTGGCCGCCTGGCCTCTCACTGAGTGGGAGAGTATCATGCTGGGGACTCAGGAGCGAGCAGATGAATCTACCTTCTACAGCAGCCTTGGAGCCAGAGCCCCTGACTCAACTCAACAAGTCCACCTGCCCAGGCATCCACCTGGCTTTCTGTCTGTTCCTCCGGTTTCTATTTCCCAACTTTCACAGGCACCTTTGCTGTAGCCTACCTGGCCCGTCTCCACAGAGACCCTGCAAAGAGTCCACAGAGGGTGTGCAATACGAGGAGGAAATGGACAGGAGAAGGGCAGGGTGTGGAGTGAGAGGGCCACAGCCAACCCCGTGCCCCATGGTGAGCACAGAGACCCCGCCTCCCAGCCTTGGCACGAAAGACCAAGTCCAGGCAGCAGAAGGTGGTGTAGGCTCTGCTGCTGGTTGGCTCAGGAGCGGCTGCTACACCTCCCACTGGATCCATGTTCTCAGGACCAGATCTGCAGCTCTGCTTTGCGGCTGAAGCAAGTAGGAGGAGCCGCGCACACTCCTGCTCCCACATCAGACACCTGGAAGGGCTCTGGAAACTTCCAGAGACATAGGCAAGGTCATCATGAGGGGCTGGTACCTGTTCTCTGCCATGGATCCTGGAGGAGGGAGACCCAGGACCTCCTGATGGACAGATGCCTGTCCAGGCCTGGTTGGGAAGTCCTGTATAGCCTCCTGCCCCTCACTCCTCACCTGCCTATCACAGTCTGCCTGCACCCTCCATACTGGAGTTTCTCACCCCCACCCTGCCTCTCAGAGGCTGGATCTCATCTCTCCCTACCCCCGGCCCAGAGCTTCTAGCACTAACTACACACACGGAGAGAGAGGAGAGAAGCCAGAGTTACCGAGAGGAAGACAAGATGAAGAAGAAAGAACAGATGGAGGAGATAGGAAGGACAGACCTCTACCTCTTCTTTGGTTCAGGAGCCTAGAGCTCTCTGCTCTGGCCAGGTCACTGTCACACTTTGGGGGGGTGGTAGCATACAGCCATGTGGGTTGGTGGCACTGGGCAGCGTTGGCAGTGAGAGCTGGAACACAGTGAGAGCTGGAACACAGTGAGAGCTAGAACACAGTGAGAGCTGGAACACAGTGAGAGCTAGAACACAGTGAGAGCTGGAACACAGTGAGAGCTGGAACACAGTGAGAGCTGGAACACAGTGAGAGCTAGAACACAGTGAGAGCTAGAACACAGTGAGAGCTAGAACACAGTGAGACCTGGAACACACTGAGAGCTGGAACACAATGAGAGCTAGAACACAGTGAGAGCTAGAACACAGTGAGAGCTGGAACACAGTGAGAGCTGGAACACAGTGAGAGCTGGAACACAGTGAGACCTGGAACACAGTGAGAGCTAGAACACAGTGAGAGCTGGAACACAGTGAGAGCTGGAACACAGTGAGACCTGGAACACAGTGAGAGCTAGAACACAGTGAGAGCTGGAACACAGTGAGAGCTGGAACACAGTGAGAGCTGGAACACAGTGAGAGCTGGAACACAGTGAGACCTGGAACACAGTGAGAGCTGGAACACAGTGAGAGCTGGAACACAGTGAGAGCTGGAACACAGTGAGAGCTGGAACACACTGAGAGCTGGAACACAGTGAGAGCTGGAACACAGTGAGAGCTGGAACACAGTGAGACCTGGAACACACTGAGAGCTAGAACACAGTGAGAGCTGGAACACAGCGCTGGCAGTGAGAGCTGGAACACAGCGCTGGCAGTGAGAGCTGGAACACAGTGAGAGCTGGAACACAGTGAGAGCTAGAACACAGTGAGAGCTAGTATGCAGCGCTGGCCTAGAAGCAAACTCCTTCACTGCAGCCAAGGACCTTGAACAGAGTGCCAAGCTGCTTCCTTCAGAGAAGGCCAGCAATTGTCCCCACCTCACATGGCTTCTAGGGACACAGTTAATAGTTAGCCTTTTGAATTATTAATATTATCATATGATTATTAGATGTAATAATATAATGTAGTTACAAATAAATGTAGTGATCAAAAATCTTAATAACGGGGCTGGAGCTATTTTAACCCTGCACTCAGTAGTTAAAAACACTTAGGGATCTTGCAGGGGATCTGCATTCAATCCCCAGCACCCGCACGGTGACAGCTCACAGCTACCTGTAACTCCAGTCCCAGGGGATCCAGCACACTCTTCTGACCTCCATGGGCACTGGGGATGCATGTGGTGCACATGTGTGTTCAGGAAAAATACTGACACACATAAAATAATGAAGTAAATATAAAAAATAGTTTTAATAATAATAACGGGGCCAGAAAGATGGCTTGTTGAGTAAAGGTGCCACCAAGCCTGATGGTCTCAGTTCAATATCTAGGAGTCACATGGCGAAGAAAGATCACATGACATACATGTGCACTGCACACACACATACATGCATGCGTACATGCACTCACGCGCACACTTCTAAAAATTTTGTAATAACGTTGTAGAATGCCAGAGCTCAAAGTAACCGTATCTGTCACCATCGTCAAAACATGCTCTTGCCAGAGATGTAAAAGTGTCAGACACACTGAGGTCACCACACTACAGGCACAGGCAAGTGTAACCTCTGTCTCCCGACCCTGCACTGACACCATTCATACAGCACTGTGTAAGGTGGGTGCCCTCCTGGAACCTATAACCGTGTGAGAGACAGCAAGGCCGGCACAGGACAAAAGCAGCCTGGCAGAGAGCAATGGCAGTCTGTGGCTTCCAGAGGGAGTGACCCGCAAAGGCCTCTCACAGGAAGAGCAAGGATACTAAGGTCACGTGAGAGGGAGGAGGGCATAGGAGAGGCTGCCAAGGCCTAAGAGCTGGCATCTCTGCTGCAAGCACAAAACTTCACAGCTGCAGTGACCCCCGCCACACTATCGTAAAACCCACGTCAGCTGAATGTATATTCTAGCACACACCTAGAGTCCCAGCATCAGGGAGGCAGAGGCTGGAGGATCACAAGTTCAAGGTCATCCCTGGCTATGTAGCAGTTTTGAGGCCAGGCTGGGCTATGAGACCCTGCCTTAAAAGACACATGCACGCACACACGTATGCACGCACATGCGTGCGCCTCGCCACACACACACATGCACACCTGGAGTAACCTCCAGCACTTAAGTGTCTGCCCCAGGTACATGTCACTGGATGAAATGCCTCCCAAGGCATCAGCGATGACTTGGGCTTTGCCATCGGGCACCCCGCAGGCTAGCCCACTAAACAGGGTAGCACACAGCAGGAGTCCTGGAGGGAGGTCACACACCAACAGAAACCATCCCTCCGAGCTGAGATGGCCATGGTGCACAGGCCTGGCTGGCATTCCAGACTGCAGGGCCTGGAGAGCCACCAAATACCAGGCAGGCGAGGCTGAGGAGCCCTGGGGCGCCAGACCTGTCACGCACCTTCTGCATCCACAGTCTCCTTCATGATAATCTCCACCCGCTCCACGTGGTGCCTGTTCCAGAGGCCATCCAAGGCCTTGCGGTTCTGATCGCGGAAGGGCAGGATCTGAGCCACGGCCTGTCGGGGAGGAAAACTGGTCATCCCAGGTTCTTGGGCGAAGGAAGAGGCTCTTGAGCTCCAGACCCCCTCACTTAAGAGAAAGCCGTCTGTGGATACCAGCTCCTAGCCCTCAGATCTCACAGCTCAGTGGAGGTACTCAAAACTAAACGACCTAACGGTTCGCAGCCAAGAAAGAGCATGCTGTAAATCAACTGTCCTCCTGTGGCTATAGCCCAGTGGTAGAGTGCTTGCCTCACATGCCTGAAACCCTAGGTTCAATCTGCAGTTCAAAGAGGGGAAAAATCAGAACGGGGATGAACTCTGTCTCTTAAGACTAACGTGAAAAACTTTAAACTGAATACATTTAATATTATTCCTTTTCATTTCCAGGCCAACGAACCCTTTTCATGACTGGCCCTGGTCTGGGGAACACAATTTGACACTATTGCCAGGACAGATACAAAGGGTTGGGTGGGAAGTAAAGTACCTGCCTGTGTAGTTGGTTCCCTTCCCAGTGTGTGGCCTAGCCCAGCAGTCTGGGTACCAAACAGCACGGACGCAGTGCACTCTGCGCTGGAAATGCTAGCGCTGGAAATGCTAGCACTGGATGAGCCCAGAGTGCTGAGGCCTCTGCAGAGTGAACTGGCCTTGACCTGTGCCTTCCAGGATATCCCTCCAAGCTCCTGTTTCTAGGCTGAGGAGAAACGTTTAGACTCTGGGATTCACTTCCCTTCTTCGGTTCTAAGTTGTTATCAGTGTTTGGCCTCAAGACAGACTTCAAGACGAAAAAGATTTTTATTTCAAAATGGCACATGAGTGAGGGGTTTTAGAAGCTAATTCTACCCTGTCTCGGGAAACCAAAAAAAAAAAAAAAAAAAAAGTAATTCTAGTTCTCACAGCATTTCCAAATGAATGCCAGATTCAGCCATCAGAGTCCCTGGACCACGTCTGTGGAGCAGATAGATCAACATGGAGGAGTCAGAATACACACCCTCTCTCAGAAGCCAAGATAGAGGAGAGTGGTCCTGCTGGCTTCCCTGATGCCTTCAGGAAGACCATGGGTGCTGGGGGTCCCCAACACTCTCTGCCACAATTCTATATTTGGTAGGAAGTCCCTGCTGATAGACCCCTGGTAACCACATAGCATGGCCATGCCAGGCTCCGAGCTGCGGCAGCTCACCTGCTTGCCCAGGTAATGGTCTACCCGGTACATCTCCTCTTCCTGGAAAAAGCTTCCAAGTTCTGAAGCCAGCTGCTGGGCTGAGAGGTGGTCATGGCCAAAGGGTTTTTCAAGAACAACACGCAGCCAGGCACCTGGGTGTGGTCTGCAGCTGCTGTTGATGTTGCGGGCGATGTCTGCATAGGCAAAGGGTGGCACAGAGAAGTAGAAGATCCTGCCAGCCTCCCAGAGCCCATCCTGCTGGACCTGGGTCTCAATGTCCTTGTTCAGGGTCTGATAGTCCTCGGCTGTCCTCAGTTGGCGGTACTGACTCAGCTGCAGAAACTGAGCCTTGAGTTCATCACAGTGACTAGGCGCCAAGTCCTTGGGGCAGGAGAGGGATTCCAGGGCCTTGTCCATGAGCTTCTGGCCCTGCTGGGGGGCTGTCAGGGCCGCCCCATGGAAGCTAAAACTGTGGCCCTTCCCAGCCTCATCCAGGTACAGCTGAAACAGCCCCTGCCAAAGATACTTCTTAGCCAGGTCCCCCGTTGCTCCCAGCAGGATTATGGAAACATGTCCCTTGAATTCCTGGGCTTGCAGGCAGCCCAGGAGGGCCAAGCACATTGCCACTATGAGCATCTTCCAAATGTCTTGGTGCCTGGGAAGAACAGACAAGGAACAAGGAAGATCAGACATGGCTCAGGAGGTTATAATGTGGAAGGTAACACAGCTAGGGCATCAAACATTTCCTGCCTGGCGAGAAATAGCCCCATGTTTCTTGGGGAAATGTTATAGTCAAGCAGCGTTCCCCTCCCTCCTGAGCAGCCTGGCCTCTGTGCCAGGAAGTCGGCGTGGAAGGAGCTTGTTCTGTAAGCAGGAATTGTGCCCGGCAAAATCCAAGGCCATTTGATGGATCCAGGGCATTCTGCTGCTAGGAGCACCAGAGAGCAACACAAACCACCAGGGAGACCCACAGCACTGACAGAGGAGGGGGCCACCTCACCGCGACAGCTAGCCTCGGCCATGAGCACGGGCTGGCGGGACAGCAGGGAAACCCTAGCCGACAGTAGCAGGCACCTGCCCAGTCCGCGGCTGGAAGTGGGAGAGGGCACGACCCCACACTCACCCTCTCTCAGCTTTTCCCCATGTCTGCTGGACTCCGTGACTAAATCACAACTAAGAGAGGCCTTGGGGGCCAGCAAGATGGTTCATTGTGGAGGAGACACACCTGCCCCCAACCCAACACAACAATGCTGAGTGTGATCCCTGGGACCCACACGCTGGAAGGAGAGGATCAACACCTGCAAGCTGACCTCTGACCTCCTCCATGTGTATGTGCGTGTACATGTGCACACATGCAAACACTGATAAATGTAATAGAGAAAGCAGAGGCTTTGGGGCGTGGTGGGGGGGTGGTTCAGTAGCAAACTGTTCAGTATAACAAGAACACTAATATTAATAGTAATAGAAGGTATGTGGTGGTGTAACACGCCTTTAATTCCAGCACTCAGGAGGCAAAGGTAGGTAGATCTCTGAGTTCAAGACCAGCCTTGTCTACAGAGCAAATTGCAGGAAAGCCAGGGCTACACCAAGAAAACCTATCTAAAAAACAAAGACGCAAACAAACCCAACAACAAAAGCAAAAACCACAACAAACAAACAAACAAAAGATTGTGCAGCCTGGTGTCTGAGTGTAGGCTCAGCTCCAGTCCTTAATAACCCGACAACTGACCTGAAGATCCCAGGTTCCCTCTGGATTGTGTCACAGTGGTGCCTCCATCACAGGCACGCTGCAAGAATGAAATTAGTCTACATTTGTACGACGCTCAGGGCAGTACCTGCTGCCTTTTAGCCATTGTTTACTGGAGAGCTGACAGTATAAAATGATATTCATACATGCCAATCACAAAACCACACGCTCTCAGTCTGATCTCACTGGATCCAGACCGGAGTCCTGAAGACCCACACAGGACAGTTTGACTACAGTCCCCTTTGCGCATGGGAAGAATGAGGTACTGTGAAATGGAGCTTCATAGTGGCAGAGTGGCGAGCTGTGTCCTTGCAATCGCTTTACTGGCCTTCCATTGGCAAACATGCCTTCCAGGCCGGCTTCCCCAGCCTGACTTGTGGCAGCGGCTGTATCTGAGAGGTCTAGGTGAAGTCACAAGAGCACCTGAGCATATACTGGGCTGGCCTTCTGCTCCTGCCCAGTGCTGTGTTTACGTGACCATAGCCCTCCGGGTCTCCACTGAAGCTGGGCTCTGGGAAAGGGCAGAAGGAACTGAAGAGGGCAGGAACCGTAGCTATGGAAGGAAAAGGTGCAAATAGGGTGCAGTATGGAGGAGGCACCTACAGAAACTGACTGAATACCAGACAGCATGAACAGAATAAATATGACCATACCGATGAGAAACTGGGGTTCAGAGCGATCATCGAACACGCAAAAGGCTCCACAGACTTGACCAGCCTACCAGCACTATTCAGTTGGGATTAAATTTGCCTCTGTTTGCCCCAGCTTCCTCTCCTGTTGCCCCTGTATCTATTCATTCTCAGATACATAGACAGACTACGGCGCATTGCATTTTCCTCTGCTTCCCAATTCCTGTCCTTGGCACCTGAGCCTTTCTTTCTCAACTGGCAACAGCTCTGCCCCGAGGGAAGGAAAAGTCTGCAAGGTCAGTGCGGGGGAAATCTGAAGCCCAGAGAACAGCCTGGAGAAGGAGGAGGCGCCAGCTGGCAAGCTGCATCCCAACTCCTGACCCGGCCTGGGAGCCAGGGCTCAGGATGTGCTGGGACACAGAGAAGCTGGGAGTCTCTGTCTCAGGGTCTGTCGGGTGGGGGAGCCCAAGGCCACCTCTCTGAAGACAACCGGGATGCATGGCACCTGACCCATACTGTCTTCCTGTCCTCTACCACACCAGCTTTCCCTCACAGCATGTGTGCTCCCGACCTCGTGCCCAAGTAAACCAGTCTCCTCTCCTGCATTGCCAGGCCTCCTGAAGCAAGCAACACTGGCTTTTCCAGAGAATTGTTTACAGTGTGATTGCTAAATACCTACACGACTGCTCTTTCTGAAATCAGTGTGGGTGGCATATGTGTTACTTATTTATTTTTTTTTTTTTTTAGTTTTCTTTTTGTTTATTCTTTGTGTCTTTCATATCAGGCCTCCCGAGCCTACACATCCACCCCAGAATAAAACAAAATAAAATTTAAGAGAGAAAAAAAAAGGGGGAAGGGAAAATTGTCATGGAAGCTGCAGTGTGACCCAGGGAGTCACACTGTAAACCCCCTTATCCATACGTTTTTCCATGCAGACGTTCATTACAAAGAATCACTCACTGTTCTGGTTCTAGGCCCCTGTTGGACCCTCCCTAGAACCCTCCCTGCACATCCTGTTGCTGCTCTGTGTCATGGAGATTCTACAGTCCTGGGTCCACAGGATCGACCCCACTCCCACACCAGATCACAGATGGGGTGGATGTTGGGGTGGGCCAACACCTCACCCTGGTTCTGGGCCTGGGTAGTTGCATGGATGGTCAGCCCACCAGCTCTCCCCAGTCTTCACCACCAGGGGGCGCTCTCCAGCATTGCCCTGGCTAGCTCACCCCTTGTAGAGATGAGCAAGGGGGCGGGGCCTTTCTCCTACTTTCCCATCTTCAGAGCCACTTCTCCCACACCTACACCTTTAAGGCCAGCTCAACTGTGTTGTCCAGGCAAGGTATCGAGGTCACTCTCTTGAGTGCTGCAGCAGATAAGGGGCAGGGCCAACAGCCAGCTCTTCCGCCTGTGGGTGTGGATGGGCCCCCTGGCGGGGGCTGGTATAAATGGATAGGGGCCTGGTCTACAGAGTGAGTTCCAGGGCAGCCTCCAAAGCTACATAGAGAAACCCTGTGTCAAAAAACAAACAAACAAACGGAAATGCAGATTCTGGTGGGTGGAGAAGAAGGAGGAGAGGCCAAAGCTGATGGCCAGGTCCAAGGAGCATACATTGAGTTGCCAGGTTCCTGAACACTGAGCACAGAAGGCATCAGTGTCCAAATGTACACGCCTGGGGCTGGATAGTCGACTTGGCGAAAACCACTAGCTGCCCCCAGAGTTCAATTCCCAGCGCCCACATGGCAGCTCACAACTGTTTGAAACTCCAGGCCCAGAGGATCCGATGCCCTCTTCTGTCCTCTGCAGACACCAGGCGTGCACATGGTGCATACAAAACATCCATATACAAACAAGGAAAAATAAAATATGCACACGCCTGGCCTCCTACTCTCATCACCAAGTCAGAGCAATCCTGCCTCCTTAGGTTCTTCAGTTCACCCTTTTCCTTGTCATAAATGGCTTCCAGTAAGTTCTGTGGTGACTGCGGTAGCCAACATGAACTGGGCTGTTCAGCTGTACTGCCTCAGCCACTGCTTCTGACGTGATTCGCATAATACAGTGAGGAGACCAGGAGGAGGGATGAATTACAGAGCCATAAAGTCCAAATTACCATGCTAACGGTCTTTCTTAGTCACAGCACAAGACCCTACGCACTGGGCTTGACCTTCCTTCTAGCTGCAGGACCTTCAGAGACTACTTAATCCACTTGGGTCCTGACCTTTTCATCTGTAAAACACACATGGCAGAAACCAGACATGGTTGATCATGCCTGTGAGGCGGGAGAGTCAAAAGTTCAAGGCCAGCTTGGGCTACAAATGGAGTTTGAGGTCAGTCTGGACAACTCAGAGAGACCCCTGTCTCAAAATCAAGAGTGAGAAAAAGTCTGACGATCCCAATCAGTGGTAGTGCATTTGTCTATCATGAGTGAGGCCTGAGTCCAGGCTCTAGCACATAAAAACGAAGGGAGGAGAGAGAGAGAGAGAGAGGGAGGGAGGAAGAAAGAAACCATGACAGATTCTGTTGGCCTGAAAGATGGAAGGGTTGTATAAGATTAACAGAGATGAGGTATGTGACCCAAAGCAAAGCAAAACAAAATAAAAACATGCACAGCCATGCCTGTCATCCCAGTAGTCAGAAGGCTAAAGCAGACTTAACAAACAACAAACAGACACACTCTCTCTCCACCCCCTAGCCCCCCACCCCCATTCACCAACACACACACACACACACACACACACACACCGCCCCGGGTAGATGAGATGGCTCAGTGGATAAAGGCATTTGCTACCAAGAAACATGATGACCCAATTTTAATCCCTGGAACCAGCATGATAGAAGGAGAAATCTGACTCCATGAATTTGTTCTCTGAGTCCTGTATGCACAAAGGCAAGTAAATGGGTATGCATACATGTAATACACACTAAATAAGAGTAATTAAAAACATTTAAAAACGAATACTAGACAGATATTAACTAATTAGACTACTTAAATAGGCCAGGTATGGCCCCTGGGAGGTGAAATGAGGGAGGTCAGGAGATTCAAAGACAGCCTGCAATATAAGTAGTTGGAGACCCTGTCTCAGGAAAAAAAAAAAAAAAAAAAAAGGAAGGAAAAAGGTTAATTAAATATAAAGCGACTCCCTGCCCCAGAGTGCACAGCACCATTGCTGTGAGAGGTACTAGGTCATTCCCCTCACCTCTGGGCTGCAGAGCCAACCCTGCTCAGTGCCCTGGGGAGCAAAGCCTGTTACCTACTTCACCTCCCAGGATGAGGGTAGTGAGACCTGGGCTCGGCTCTCCTCCGGCACTGCAGAGGCTACCCTTGAGGGTTTAAGAGGGTTCTGCACAAACGCTCCTCTCTCTGGGCTCTGCACTGAGAAGGTTCTGTGAAGCAGACCTACCAGAACTGTGTGCACGATGCTGGACGCTGGTCAAGAGGCAGGAAACCAAATGCCCACTTAGGAAATTTCTTCTCCCTCGCTTTCTTCTTTGTCTAATGGAGTCATCAGTCCCAGAGAACCATCACTAAACAGTCCGAGAAGCTGGAGGAGAGGACACAGACGTCAACACCGACACAGAAAAATGCCATTCTCAAGAACATTCTTGCCCTCATCCTAAACAACCACACAACCTTGAAGAAGGCATTTAACTTGCCAAGGTCTCAGCTTTCTTGCCTGGGAAGTGAACTAAGTATTCCAGGTATTTTACTAGCCCTTGGTTCTGTGCTTTTCCAGGGAGGTTCCCACCCTACTAGCCAAGAGATGCCACTACCTTTCTGTATAGGCAGGGAAGGGCTAGGGACACAGAGACCTGTAGAGGGCCACAGGGCCAAGAAATACAACGCCAAATTTACAACCTGGTCTACAGAGTGAGTTTCAGGACAGCCAGGAATACACAGAGAAACCCTGTCTCGAAAAGCCAAACAAACAAAAACTAACAAAAAGAGTGTAGAGGATACAATTTCATATCTAAAAAAATTTATTCAAAAAACAGCTGGAACAGGACATGGTATAACTCAAGCCTACAACCTCAGTCCTTGGAGTCAGGAGGCTTGTGAGTTCGGGGTTAGCCTGGGCTATCATATCAAAGGAAAGAAAAACAGGAAAAAGAAGAGAGGGGTAGAGGCTAGAGAGGCGGCTCAGCAGTTTAGAGCACTTGTTGCTCTTGAGGAGGCCCATTCCCAGGACCCACATGGCGGCTCACAAGCACCCCGAGTTCCAGCTCCAGGGGAACCTACACCAAGCATGCACACACGGACATGCAGGCAACATACTCCTACACACATAATAAAATAAGTAAGAAGGAGGTGGAGGCAGAAACCAGCAAGCCAGGCCGGCCTCCTCTACATAGCTCTGACAGGCTTATGCTAGAATTGGGACTGAGTGTACACACAGAGATTTTATCCCAATACCCTTGGCTCTCTAACTCTCCATCAGAGAGTGTCTCACTCGTTGGACAAAGGCCCGGCTAACATTCCAGAAGGTGAAAGATTGGCTTACCCTCACAGGAAAGGAGAACCTGGCCAGCCAGCCCACAGCTGTCCCTGCCCAGGCCATCAGAGGAAGAGGCACGGGGCTGGTGCTGGCTAACCACAGCAGTTACCCGAGGTAGTCGGGGTCATTACCTACCCCCAATCCCTTTCCTAGCTCTCACAGATGCTGCTGTTGACTAAGCTGACTCCTGGGGGTGGAGCTAGGAGAGGGGATGGTCCTCAAATCATAGCCCAGAAAGCTGGACTTATTAAAAGAACTGGTAAGGAAACAAGAAGTCCAATGAAAGGACACTGGTCGGTTCCCTCTAGCTGGAGGCCCCAGTCATGCCAGACTCACCAGTCAGGCAAAGAACAGAATCCCCACTGCGTGTCAAGCAACCTCAACCAACCTGGGGACCTGGGCTTCCAGACCGTGCTCTTCTTAAGAGCCCTTTCTTGGCCTCTTCTGACTGTAGCTAGACACAGTGAGGACACCCAAAGTCCCTCTGTTCCTGTTTGCAAGATTTGATTGCTAAATTCCCGGATTTCTCCCAGCTGGCTGTCAAGGATAGCCATTACTAAATCAAAGTTACATTAATGAATAACCAACTGAATTCTATTAAGAACAAAGGCCAATACACACGCAGACTATCGTCTCCTAAGCATGTGACCACATTTTTTTGCCGTCTATATACTCTTGATGCTGCTGAATAGGGGGACATCTATCACACAGACACTGGCAAAGATCATACACCAAGCTCCCCAGCCCTCACCTCCAGCTGTTCAGAGTTTACCAGCTGGTTGCTATCTGTGTGGCCAAGCCTGAGTTTCCAGTTTGGACTCCCCCACCTCACTTCCTCTGATCCCTCTGCTCACAGTTGAATGCTGACTAGGCTTAACCACATCAAATCCAGCTTTCCTTCCCCTCGCCTCCCCTCCCCCCCCCCCCCCCCCGCCCATCCCTTCTGTCCTTCATAGAGGTGAGAACTCTAGTATCCGCTGCTCTGCTTCTCTGATCTCTCAGCTTCCACCCCCTAATATCTGACTCTGGGTTTTTATTATTAAGACCAATCAGAACTCATGCTACATTAGAGTATGACAATCGATGGGCCCTCTTACTCTGGCCACAGTGCTGTGAGGTAGGCACTACCATCCACCGTTTGTGTAGCGGTGAACTAACACAGAAAGGTAAATTACCTTGCTGAAGGTCAGATAACTCAGAGGTGATGGGATGTGAACGGAAGCATTTGGTTCTAGAGCCAACCTCCAATGCCGCTCTAAAATGTGTGGCTAAAGGCTGTGGTGACTGCTCAGCGACTGAGAGCACTTGTTCTTGCTGAAGACCCAGGTTCGGTCCCTAGCACCCAGGTGATGGCTTATAACCACCTATGACTGCAATCTCATTCCCAGAGGATCCAGTGACCTCATTTGGCCTCGGCAGGCACTGTACACTCATGGTGCTCACACATGCAAACAAAAACTTGTGCACTGAAATAAAAATAAATCTTAAAAAAAAAAGGAGAAAGAAAATACGTGGTTATATCCCCAAACAACAAAATACCAGGCAGCAGCTTGGTGTAGCATTACTGGTTTCCCCGACAGTGGCTGCTCACAAAAGCCAGACACTACTCTCGGTTGCCATGTTACTCCAAACGCTAATGCCTCTCACTGGTCTCTGCTAAGGCCCCATGACTCGCATATCCTCCTTCTGAAACTAGGAAGGCACGGAAACCTAAAAGGCCCTGTGGGCCAAGGCACTGCGTATACGATCTGGGACTCAACTCTGCCTCTCTGCAGCTGGGACAGCCTTTAACCTCTTTGTTCCTCAACCACAGAACAGAAAACAAGTCCACTACAAGCACACAAGAGCACGATCCATGTAAGGCACTCTGGCACAATGCCTGGCAAGCTGTAGGCCCTCACGAAATGGTAGTTTCTACCACTGAACATTAGCACCATGAAGGCCCTTCCCACAAAGCCTCAAACACAATTCGCCACCTTGCTGCAGGAAAACTGTGAGGCATGGATCATGAGAGCTCCACTGGTCCACCTGGCCACACTGATGACAGAGCAAAGAGCTGCAGGCTGAGATGGCCCTTTCTTAACTCTTGAGAAGTCTACCATCTGGCCAGAAGAAAGGAGTATGATCGCCCAGTGTTGCAGAACATGTCTATAGCCCTACAACTCAAGATGCTGAGGGAGAAGGACTGAGCGCTTGAGACCAGCCTGGGGTACAAAACAAGACCTTGACCCAAAAAAACACAGCAGGGCTGGAGAGATGACTCAGCACTTATGGTGCCTGATTCAATTCCCAGCATGCCCATGGCAGCTCACAACCATCTGTAACGCCAACCCTCACCTGGCCTCCAAGGGTTCCAGGCACACATGTGATACACAGATATGTATGGAGATAAAACACCCAACCACACACACGAAATAAATAAAATTAAAACAAAACAAATGGGTGGGGGGTGTTAAGGGGAGGGCTGGAGAATTTGCTCAGCAGCTAGTAGCACTCACTGTTGACCTAGATTCCGCTCTTAGCACCAAGATGACAGTTCACCGCAACTCCTTCTCCGAGGGTTCCAGCTCCCTCTTCTGTTCACCATAGGCATGTGAATGTATACACACATACACAAATAAAATAAACAGGGCTGGAGAGGTGGCTCTGCAGTTAAGAGCACTGGCTGCTCTTGCAGAGGACCCGGGTTTAATCCCTCAGGTCCACATGGCAGTTCAGGAGAGCCCAGATCCTCTTATTGCTTCAATAAACACTACACACACTGTATACTTACACACATGCACGCATACACAGTACTCATACACACGAATTTCTTTTAACTCTTTAAAAAATAGCATATTATCTGGAAAGAAAGGAAATTTAAGCCGGGGCTGTAGCTCAAAGGTTTGGTGTTTGCCTAGCATGTATGATGTCCTAGGTTAAAAAAAAAAAAAGTCACCGAAAAGTAAAATGAGTAAGGCTGTAATCTGGTAGCCTTAAACCTCTGGCTTAATTCTAGATTATTTTCCCTGGCTGTAAAACCTTATTTTAATGGCTGACCAGAAGAAACCAGATCAGGGAACAAAACATACTTTGTGAGGACATGGTGTAAGGGAGCTTCCTGTCTTTACAACCCAGGACAGCTGCTCCTGGCAGATCTGGAGAACTGAGCCACAGACGGATAAAGCAATCTTCGCAATTCCCCTTTATGGTTTTATTTTATTTTGAGAAAACATTCTTCGAACTCAGTGATTTCCCTGCCTCCGCCCACCTCCCTCCAAGAGCCATGATTTCAAGTGTATGCCCCTCTTCAGCAGGTGCTTTTCTGTGTTGTGTTCCCAAAATAAAGATTAGCCTCATCAACTCAGATGCGTGCATCACGGCAGACTATAAAATCCTGGTTTTCCAACTGGTTACCTTTCCAGGGCCGTGGTGGAAGGTGGACTAGATACTGAATCAGCTGTGTGGAACTTTCAGTTCTTACTTCCGGCTAAGCATTCAAGGCTGGGAAGGCTGACTTTCAGAGGCCCCATGCCTCTGGAAAAGAATTTTCTGGGTCGGTATGTAGGAAACGCTCATGCGATAGCAGCTGCCAAAGTTAAAGCCTTGGGAAATCACCGGCTCGCTCTCTGCAGCACGTTCCGGGAAGCCTAGGGACAAGGGCGCGCTGGGCCCCCAGGGCTACCGGGGAAGGGGCCTGCCCGCCTCCTACTGGCCCACCACCTAACTGCACCGCATCCCCAGGTCCTGGTGGGGTGCGGTGGGGTGCTGATGCCTTTATTCCGCGGAAGGAGGGGTGTGCGTGTGGAGGATCGGTGACTCGGGCGAGCACCGTGGGACCCGAGCCACCCCCCGTGGCCGGTTGGCTGGCATGCTGTCGGGTGCAAGAAGTGCGCAGCCCAGAGCAAGCAGGGGGGTGCAGCTTACTTCATCTCGCTCCTCCAGGAAGTGGCCCGGGCTGGCTAGCACGACAGACGGCTGGGGTGTGGGGACATGCGACCCCCTGCCCGCGCTTCGTCTTCAGCAGGTGCGCGCTTCACTCGGGACCGCGCCTGGGCGCTCCGAGAGCGCCTGGGCGCAAGGCCAAGTCCAGCCCGGGAGGCGGCAGAATTTCAGGCTGCGCAGCGACAGAACCCAGCGGGCAGGCCTCAGGCCACCGCGGCCCCGCGCGGCGCTCACCCGGGAACCAGGAGCGCGCGCAAAGGGGCCTAGGGCGAAGAGCGCGGAGGAGGCGGGGCCTCGGGCCTGGGCACGCCTATCTCGCGGGCGCGGCGGAGGAGGCGGGGCCTCGAAATGCTTTCTAGCGTCCTGCTGTCACACTTGAGCTTTTGCCTGCCTTGCATCCTCGGCCTCCTACCTGGGTCATACTGTCAGTGGCAGGGCTGCCATGTTGCGCGGACACGAGCATGTGCCCCTAAAGATGCTAGGCGTGGAGGTGGTGAATGTGTCGTTGAGAAAATTCAGAGGATGAGCAGTACCTCTGGCGTCTCGTCTGGAACCTGGAACTGGTTCCCTGCCTTCCCCAGGCCTCATGGTCCTCCATCTGTAGAGTGAATAGCTTGGTCCTCTGGGCATTCCTGTACCCAAAAGAGTGAGTTAAACGCTGCGCTGCGAGTGCACACTCTTGACACACCTTCACCAGTCAGCTCCAGCTCTCTGACTCCCCCTGACTTACAGGGTCTTGGGGCTCTCTCTCTCTCTCTCTGTTCTTCTGTACAGTTTAACTGTCAGATGATGGTATTTTGTGTGGCTTTAAGTAAGACAGGAAATAGAACAGTGCTTTGTGTAGAGAGTAGCAGATGTGTAAAGGACTCTCAGTTCTCGGCTCCATCTCATCCCCACCCATTTTGATGCCCTATGCCCAACCCCATGTCCATTTAACTCTAACCCTACGGCATCCCCCGTGCCTCCTGACATTGAAGACAAAGCTCTTTCTACCCTCTGTGTCCCTCTATCTCAGCACAACTCAAGCAACTTTGGGCTAATGAAGGCAGGGCACCCTTGGCCACCTCCTGGATGAGGGTGCCCATCTTTACTCTTGGAGCATCACAGCTCTGTTCCTTCTTCAGAGGCTCCTCCCAGCCACCCCACTGACAGAAAGGTCACCTAGAGAGGGGACTCGTGTGAGAGAAAACATGGACCAATTTTTTTCTTTCACTATGGTTGCTCTCCAAGTAGAACCAGCCCTCTCTAGAGCTGGAAGTGAGGTCTAAAGCAGGGAAGGGTCAGACCAACTGAACTTAGCCTAGAGCCCTTCCCACATTCTCTAGTCCCGTGAGACACCAAAGCCAGGGACAGACGGGAGTGGACAGGTACCCAGGGGTTTAAGAGCTGGGTGCTTTCCAGGCCTCTACGTGCTCATCGTAGAATGCTGTCTCTAGCTACTTGAAGACATCTTTTAAAATGCCCCCAAACCAATTTAGCTGGGACCAGCTTGATAAGAACACCTGTGTGTCCCTTTCTGGCGAGGGTGGAGCTGGGGAAGGAAGGGTCTGTCTGTCATCATACATGCTCCGCTAAACTGTTGCCCCCATATTGCTGTGAGTTGCTTCCTTTCTCTGCCCTCCCCCCTCATCTGTGTGAATACATGGAGGCCAGAGGTCATCGGATGGCTGGCTCCCTTTATCTTTCTACACTTTTTAGAAAAATATTTATTTTACATGTATGACTGTTTTGCTTGTATTTATGTACACCACATATGTACTTGGTGCCCGTAAGTGTCAGAAGAAGGCATCAGATTCCAAGAAACTGGAGTTATAGCTGGTTATAAGCTACCATCCGGTGCTGGGAACTGAACCTGGGTCTTCTGCAAGAGCAACAAGTGTTCTTAACTGTTGAGCTGTCTCTCCGGTGCGCATACCTTATTGTTTTTGAGTCATGGTCTCTCACCGAACCTAGAGTTTGCTGATCAGGCTGTCCGGGGCATGGATTTCAGGCCATACCACTATGCCTGGCCTTTTTATGTGGGTTCTAGGGATCCAGACCTGGGTTCCCATACCTGCACCAGAGTCCCTGTACCCACAGACCGACCCATTTCTCTAAGTCCCCCATCTCACCTTCACCTCAGTCTCCTCCCATCCTGCCCCTGTGTCTCCGGTTTGATCTGAACAGTTTCTTGACTTTCTTCAGAGAAACAAGCCAGTTGAATTAAACCCCAATAGACTCGATATGAGAGCATTTCTTCCCCCAAATCAGCCCTGGAATCCTTGTAAGTGCAGGCCAAGGGATTGGTACCAGTGACTCTGCTGTCTGGAGTTTCTTATTTCTGTGCCAGCTGCTACTTCAACCCAGTCCAAACCCTTATCACAAGGTGTGCTTTCAGGGCTCTGCGGAGGAAGGCGGGACTGGGAGGAAAGTGCCTCTTGGAGGGAGGGTTCTGTGGCCCGATTGCATCTGGCTGATCTTGCACTGGGTAAGGAAGATGCTGGGGCTCCATTTATGGAGAACGTTGGTGAGGACACGGCATTCTGGGAAAGCAGAAGTCAGGGTTACCGCAGCCTGCTCTGTGCTCTGCAGACGTGGAAAGTGAAACCCAGGGAGATGAATGACTCACAGAGATGTCGTCTACGGAGTTGGAAATAAAATCACGTTGCAGTTTCTATTTTCAGGCACCATGCCCCAAGTCAGCTCTACTCGCTGGCTCCTTGCTCCTCACAGGGGAGGGGGGAGGGGGGAAACAGGTGTCGTACGGTTTTTCAGCAGTGGGCAGACATTTTCATCCCCAGATGAGAAGCCTCCAAATGACTTGTTATGTTTTAAGATTGGCTCCGCAAAGTAGTGGTTATTTCCATCTCTGTTGCTGCCATAATGAGGTGCCACATTTAAACAGCAAAGATCTGTCATCTTACCACTCACTGGCTCTGGTCCCGCTGGGCTGCAGGGGTCAAGGCTGAACTCCGTATGGAGAAGCCATTTTCTTGCTCTGTCTTGCTTCAGCCATCAGCCACCTCCCACTCACGGCTGGTTGCCTTGTGAGCTAAGGAATCCCTAGTTTCCCTCTGACCTTGGCCGATGACTGTTCTCAGTTTGAAAGTTCCCTGGGGCCAGGGCCTCTTATCTTCAAGGCTTGGATGAAAAGTTGACCATTTCTCTTGCTCTTTTTTGGGTACGGTTTCTGACTCAGCCACATGTCTGCTTTAAGAGCTGGAGACATTAGACTGGGGAGGGGCACTTGTATAACCCTAAATTATAACATTTCCTGTTTATACTCCATAGTGTGTGTCTGGAGCAGAGCCAGCGGGGCTGGAACTCTCTCTGTGGACCAGACTGGCCTTGAACTCACAGAGATCTTCCTGCCTCTGCCTCCTCAAGTAATGGCATTAAAGTTGTACACCATTATGCCTGACCCAAAATAACAGTTTTGATTATTTATTAGTTTTAAGTGCATGGACGTTTTGCCTGTATGATGCCTGTGTGTCACACGCATGCCTGGTGCCCTTAGAGGCCAGAAGTCCCTGGGACTAGACTTACAGATGGCTGTGAGACACCATGTGGTGCTCGGAATCAAACCTGGATTCTCTGGAAGAGCAGACAGTGCTCTTAACCACTGAGCCATCCTCTAGGCCTGCACAAGTACGCTGAAGAGCATTATTACTTATGTGTGTACACATGTGTGTACAGTTGTCTGAAGAGACTGGAAGAGGGCAGAGGAACCCTGGAACTGGAGTTACAGCCTGTGTGGGCCACTCAGTGTGTGTGTTGCTGTCTCAGTTAGGGTTTCTATTGCTGTGAAGGGACACCATGGCCACCAAAACTCTTATAAAGGAAAACATTTCATTGGGGTGGCTCCCTTACACTTTCAGAGGTTCAGTCCATTGTCATCATGGCTGGGAGCATGGCGGCATGCAGGCAGACGTGGTGCTGGAGGAGTAGCTGAGGGCCCTACATCCTGCAGGCAACAGGAAGTCCACTGAGATGCTGGGCGGTACCCTGACTGCAGGAAACCAAAGCCCGCCCCCACAGTGACACACTTCCCCTAACAAGGCCACACCCACTTCAGCAAAGCCACACCTCCTGATAGTGCCACTCCCTATGAGATTATGGGGAACAATCATATTCAAACTATCAAAGCTGGGAACCAGACTCCTGTCTACCTCAGGAGTGAGCGTCAAGGTGCTTTGACCACTGAACTATCTCTTCAGTCCCTAATAATAAATGATGTCTAATTGCATGGATGTGCCTCATGAGATGGATATTTGGGTTGTTTCTGCTTTTTGGCTCTTGAAAATGGTGCAGTTATGAAACGTGTGTGCATGTCTTAATGTGAACACAGCTTTTGCTTGTCTTGGGTCATGGTGGAACAGCAGGTATCATGTGGGAAATAAGATTCACTGGGACATGGTATAGGTTGATTGATGTTAATTTGGGAAGAAATCACTTACACCTGAAACATGACTGCCTCGGGTTCCTGCTCCAAGCATGCCACCCGGATGCTCTCCTCAACCCGACCAGGAAGTGGAGAGCAAGCTGGGGTCCTGGACCCCAGACCTAGCCTCTCCACAGGTCACACCTGCGCCTGTGCCCATGTCCCAGTGGGTGTGGTCAGTGCGGCAGGTGCAGAAGGGGTTGACATCTCACTACAAGCAAGATCTTGGGGAAGTTCTGTGCTTGACCTTTAAGGACGGGCCCACTGTTTTCCAAAATGGTTTCCACATCTCTCTGAACCCCGAAATGCACCAACACTGGTTGCCAGGCTCTTGCTTGTGGCCGTTCTCAAGGCTGCAAAGGGGATCCACTTGTCAATCTTATTTGCACTTTCTCTAGTGGCTACGGATACTGAAAGCCATTGTCTATGCTCATTTATCATCTCTGTTTTCCGGGAAAATGTCTAGTTAGGTTCTTTGCCCATGTTGGCCTTGTGTGTATCTGTGTCTGGGGACTTGAGAAGCCAGAGGCTTCAGATCCTATGGAGCTAAAGTTACAGATTATTGTGAGCCATTTGGTGTGGGTGCCAGGAATGGAGCTCAGGTCCTCTAGAAGAGCAGCAAGTAACCTGACCTGCTGAGCCATCTCTCCAGCCTGGGTTCTTAAAATATTCTAAGCATAGATCCCTGCCAGGTGATTTTTTTCGGGGGGGGGGGGACTGGGTGTCTTAGTTTGTGTCTTCTGCTGTGAGAAAGACCATGAGCCCCATGACCAAAACAGTTTTGGGAGGAGGTTTATTTCAGTTTATGTTTTCTAATCCAAGATGAACTCAAAGCAGGAACTTGGA